CTTGTGTGCAAGTTCCTCATGGAAAAATAATAGGAGTAGTCCATGTAAAGTTATTTTCTTAGATGCCCTGTTTTCGAGATACAGTGTGTTGAATTTGTTACTTTCCAAATGGTTTTTCTTAATTATCTTTAAATCGGCTAAAGATAAAAATGTCAAAATTTGTACACGAGCAAATATCAACTGTGCGTTAAGAATAATGTACAAACGGCTTCTTTCTGAATAGCAGTGTCGCCGATACAGGTAATTGGAGGGGTACAATAGAAAAAAAATATGTTAAAAGTAAAAATTTATTACATTTCTAAACGGTTCTGTAAACTCTAAAGCATACTACAAAAAATATATATACTTGTTGAAATTCGGTAGCATATACCATTTTCGAGAAAAATGAAGTTGCATAGAAGGAAATGAGGGACAATTTCAGTATCTACTGTAGTATTTCGAGTTTGCACATTTATTTAATTGCGCAGCAATTGTTCTGTATGTCTCCAAGTCTGTGTCCTAATATTTTTCTGTTTTTATCACTTTTTTAAGCATTCATGTCCATCAACAATTGTTTATTTTAGTAGGTAATGGTAGTGTAGTAGTTTACAAAATCTAAAATTAGTTAATAATAGATAATTAATTACCATAATCTGTTTATTTTGATTTACTTTTTTAAATGTCAGTTTACAACAAACTGAAACTTAAAATAAATTTTAATTTTTTTTTAGTTAATAAAATGTTTTACAATTTAACTGTCATGTGATACGTAAAAAATTAAAATTATAGTCTTAAATGCAAATACTTTTGGTAGCTAAATGTCTTCAGCTCACTCAATGGTAAGGTCCTCTTTCAATTTAATATTTTGTTAACCGCTTTATGTGAGCAAAAAAAATTCAACTTCATTTTTCTTGAAAATGGCACATGCTACCGAATTTCGACAAATATACCTTTCTTTTGTAGTATCCTTGAGTTTACAGAACCGTTTAGAAATGTAATAAATTTTGACTTTTAACATTTTTTTTTTCGATTCTATCCCTTCAATTACCTATATCGACAACACTGCTTTTCAGAAAGAAACCGTTTGCACAGTATTCTTAACGCACAGTTGTTTACTCGTGTACAAATTTTGACATTTTTATCTTTAGCCGATTTAAAGATAATTAAGGAAAACCATTTGGAAAGTAACAACTTCAAAAACAGGACGGAAGAAAAATATGTTACATGAACTACCCCCATTATTTTCCCATGTAGAACTTGCACACAAGTTTTTTTGAAACATGAACGGAACACCCTGTATAATAAACTAATACTAATACTTACCTGTTTTATTACAAAATTAATTTATCATTCAGGAACAATTATGGGAAATGTTGAAATTTTTAAAATAGCCCTACATACAAATCAAGACAAATATCTACAAATGGAGTTTATCTGCTTGTTTGTTAACTGAAAATTCACACAAGAATGGCTGATCGATCTTGATGCGGTTTTCTCCAGGGACAAAACATTTCTCGGGATCTGTTTTAAGATTTTTTTGTTTCACTGCATCATAGCAGGCCGGCGTATCCCGAGAATTATGTCATGTTGATGTCCAGTAAAATATGTCTGTGATTTTAAAAGCTTTTTTAAAGATAAGTGTGCACCAACTAGAACAATAAAGCTCTCAATATTTCAAATATTAATATCCCCGTTTATACAAGGTAAACGAACACTAATTAGTTGTTATGGGAAGTACAATGTACTTCCATATAGAAACTAGTCTGGACCGCAGTGAAAAAATAACTATTCATATTTTGCCATGAATTGTTTAGGATGTTCAATTACTAAAATTAAAAACTATTCTTGACCTATTACTAACTGAACAACTTGTATATTCCATAAAATCAAGTCGTAACTAACTTTGAGGATATAAATTTCAAGATACACTTATTTCGGTCGGTTTTTTTCAACTGTCGGGTAAACTTAAATGTCAGTTAATTCTGTCACTATCTTATACATATATATTTTATGAAAAAGATATAGATTTAACTGGAAGATAAATTTATCAGGAGGTGAAAAAATCAGGCCTTAAAATATCAATTGATATATTGAAGAGATAAAATATGAAATTATAATAAATACGAGCAAAAATATTTCTAATTGTCCCTCGTAAAAATATCAAAATCTTCACAATCACTTTTAATTCATAATTAAATACCAGTATTTATTTTAATCTAAAAAAATAACACAAAATCTATTTGTATTCGTTTATTGAGAGAGATTAGATTATTTAGATAAAATAATAATAAATGATATCCCTCCAGTCAGAATTACTTGCGAAATATTTATTGTTACCGATTTAACTTCATTTTTTAAATAATTCATTTTAAAAAATGTGCATAGTTGCCACGCGTCATGGAAGAGCCATTCACCACCTTTCTCTTACAAAATACAGTTTAAACCTATACCAATAAAGAGTGATGGTAATTTGAAAAATGTGCTGGACTTTTTCAAAATGATATGTTTTTTTTTGGTGCTGTGATGTCCACATTCCAGATAACTAAATGTTTCTAAATACTAAATAAGTATTGCTATTTAAAACGTATACATAAATTAGTTTGTATTCATCAAATGTTAACTATGAATTATAATAATGAAATAGATATTTTTTTACATGAATACCTACAATTCATGGCAGGTCCCAAATTATTAATTAAACACATTTTTTATGTGGTATCTTTGGTATAGTCTTTCCGATCTCAATTTAAGACCAAAGAGTTAGGCAGAATGTACCAGATTCGGTCGCTACGCAGCAACTCGGCATTGAATTATTTGAAAAACTTGTTCCTATATTTATTTAGCCATACCCATATACAGGTCTGGAAAACGTGGAGGTGGTAGAAATTTATACGCCCAGTTGAAGAATGCGAGCGCGGACAAACGAAATCCAAACACAGCTGCATTGATCCACTGGCCAATAAATCTCAGCTGTTGACAAGTGGTTGACAAATTGCCTAACAGTGTAGTGCAGCAATGCGGAATTTGGTGTGATTTAGGTAATTTTAGTTTATTATAGACACCTTCTATTAATCATTCATATTACAATTGCGAAAGGGAGAAATAAGAGGGATATTTTGTTTATGAATATTATTACAACATGGCATTTTGGAGACCTTTTGAAACGGAACAAAACGAAATTTACCATCAATATAATAAAATTGTTTAAGGACATAAATAAATAAAATATGTTGTTGACCAAATGAACATATATAAATTTTCTACACATTATATAGAAACAGAAAACTTTTTTAGGGACGCCTATGAAAGTCATTAAATTTTATTACCAGGCGTTTTTTTACATGTTCAACTGACTTCGGAAAGACTAATAAATAATTGTTACAAGATACACTTTTTCAAAGAAAATATTTATTTCTGAACGGATCTAAACCTACTTTTTCCAAGAGGCTTATTTACCAAGAAGTTATTAAAAATGAGTCTTACGCAACTCATTTTGTCTTGATCCTGTATAAATATGTTTATTTGAAATTTTTATGACCAAAAAACATCTTGATATGACACTCAAATGAAAGAATACCATGTATATGTTTATGTGATAACTTTTACCACCATTATTGAAACAGACGTAGGAAAATTGTTAATTTTGTTTTAGGAGTAAAGTTGAAATTGTAATATTTTGAGGTAATCTATTAATTAAAAAAAAATGACAAAAAGCTGCTTCACACTTTTTAAAATAATGGCTCCTTTTTTGATATATTTATTTTTTAAGTTAAGCATTATTTATTTTATTATGTATTTACAAATTTTGTTAAAAACTACCCCTGACAATCTTGTTTATTAGCTGTTTTTTTAATGTATGGTACTTTGTCAAATAGAAAGCAATATATTTAACAATTTACTGTACATCGTTAATAACATAAGTTATTTTATTTCTCAAAAATGTATGATGATCTCACAATCAGTAATTTAATTATGATCTTAATTGAATATTAAAACAAAATCGTTAAACTTTTTCTAGAAACATCATTGTAGACAACAATGGAATTAATATCTATATTTTAAAATGCAATAAATATTTGGCTCATGAAAAGCATAATAATAATGCATATGTGACTTTTAAGCAAATAGGTGTCGCGCTTAAATGTGACACAAGCCTGTAGCTTCTTTGTTTTTTGACCGATTTCAAATTTTTTTTTTTTAGAATGTAGGATAAAAAAATTCTAACTGTAATTCTGCTGTTTTTATTAAAGCAATTCACGGCCAACTAGGATGCTTTTTTTTGACGTCAAAACAGCTAATTGATATTAGAGATTTTTTTCCAAAAAACAGATTACCTATTCTCATTCAGCATCCCTTAAAATGTCTTATCACCAAGTTTCATCAAATTCGATACATCTTCAGACGGGCACTAGTTGGCCGTGTATTGCATTAATAAAAACAGAAGTATCACAGTTTTTTAACCCTACATTCCCAAATAAAATTTTTTGAAATCGGCCAAAAAATAAATAATTTACCGGCTTGCATCATATTTAAGCGCGATACCCTTTATATAATTTAATTTAAATTTGCTACGTAAGTTCATTCTCAGTGGGCGTAAAGACTTTCCGCACCAAATAAAATGGATTTAGATCTATAAAACAAAGACACAATATCAAAAAAAATATATTTTTAATAGGACTTGTACCAATCTGTAAAATGAATGAATGAATGAAAAATATGCAAATACATACACAATACAAACTTTTTCAAAATCATAATAAATCTAGTGTATAAATTATGTCACTTTACTTTATTTATACGATAGTGTGGAAGGAATCTCTGTAGTTGCAGTCAAGGCTATCGCTTTCAATTGAATTAAGAAATATCTATATACATAGTTTCTTTCCGCGGATGTTAAAATAGGAGCTGTACATTTTCATAAAGTGGCTATGTTTCTGAATAGGAGGATCCTGTGAATCAAAAAACATCCCGATCCTCTTAAAACCCGTTTGCTCTGATTTACAAGTTCGAAACTTACTCACAGTATATATGCGGAACTGAACGAAAATCTCCAGGAAAATCTGTGGACAACTCGGAGAAAAGTCAACACAAACACGCCTTGCTTAAACTCCGTAAAAACTGCCAAGGTCCCTACGCGGCGCCACGTAAACTCACGTAAGACCTGTCTCAATTATGAACCATATCAGCAAACAACGATATCACCACCGGATTTTGAATCGGATTTACCGCCTAACTGCTCGATGAAGAGCACCGAAATTTGGTCCGCCGTCGCTTCCTCGGCGAGCTGACTGCTTGGCGTGCGCTTCGGATCGGCACGACTGCCCCGCGAACGTCTATTGATCGGCGAACTAGCAGGAGCCCACGATGTAGAATTCGCCCAAAGCCAGGATATTATGCGATTACCTGTAAAGAGTACCAACTGTGTCTATTGACACTGGGAATAATTGATTAATTGATGATGTGTGATGCTGGTGCAGCCACCACCGAAGGCGTAACAGGTCTTCCGATCCTCCAAAAAACTGACTCGGTTTCAATTATAAAATTCAGTAATATGATGCTGCACGAAATATTCTTTGGGCTAAAAAAATTCTCGTGTAACTTTTCTCTATCAGGTTTTTTATATTTTTTTAATAGCTTCATTTTTATTACACTATTTTCCATGAATAAAATAGTGTTCAAAATGTATGTGTATGAAAGCGTTTGCCTCATTTTTTAAGTTTAGTCAAGTTTTGTTTTAACTATACAGGGTGTCTCATAATTAGCTGCCAACCCTGCACAGGCCGATTCTATGATCAAAACTAAGTAAAAAAGTTCATATGAACATGGGTCCGGAAATGCTTCCTAAGGGCACAGGGACCCATTGAAGAGGGAGGAATGGAAATCATTTTTTTGCAATATCTCTCAATCGCGTTGTGATAAATGAATGAAATTTGGTATACACAGCTAAATTTTGATGAGCAATTTGATGGACTAATCCATTTATTTCCACAAGGTCCATTGGGGTGGGTACGGGGGGGCCCTTGGTACTTTGCGTGTGTAACTTTTTCATCTTTGACTTTTTAACAAATTGGACAGCAAATTCCGTTTTCCCGAACTGTTTTACGTTAAAAAGGTACTCTTGTTTCAAATCGTTATCTTTAACGGTTTCTGAGAAAATCGCTCTTGAATTAATCCCACTTTGGTCAATTTCATAGTAATTTAAACAAAATTATCAAGGTATTCTTATGTCAAAGTATTGTCAACCCGATTGCCAATTTAATAGTTCTAAGCGAAAAAAATGGAAGAGTTTACGGGACAAGAGTTAGTTGATATGATATTTATTTATGGCTTTTGCGATGGTAATGCTGCAGCGGCAGAACGCGAGTACGGGAGAAGGTTTCCAAACCGAAGGCTGCCATCAAGGAGGACATTCCCTACGGTATTCCGCAACTTAGCTGCAACCGCCACTTTTCGAAAGGCACCGGGTCAAGGACGTCCCAGGATTAATAGGGAAGCGGAGGTCCTTGACGCTATTGAACAAGATCCTACGACTAGCATACGGAACATTTCAAGGCAAATAAATGTTCCTCGGCCAACGGTACTACATATCTTAAAGATTTCCTTAACAGAATTGATTAGATGTGCTACTAACATTTCAGGTTGGAAGAATATTAAAGCGACAAGGTCTACATGCCTATCACTATCGACGTGTACATGGCTTGATACCAGAAGATTTTGCGCCACGTATGCAATTTTGTCGCTGGATTTTGTCGCTGGACAACGAGCAAGCTTCCAAAATTTTGTGGTGTGACGAAGCTACTTTTACCCGAAATGGAAAATTAAATTTTCATAATTCTCATTATTGGGAAGAAGAGAACCCACATGTTGTTCGGAGAACAAACTTCCAGCAACGGTTTTCCATAAATTTATGGGCGGGAATAATTCACGACACTCTGATTGGACCTATTGAAATTCCACAACGTCTCAATTCAAATCTTTATTTAAACTTACTTCAAGAAAATCTTCCCCAAATTCTCGATGATCTGCCTCTAAATTTACGACGTAACATGTTTTTTCAACACGATGGAGCCCCGGCACATAGTGGTCGCAATGTTCTAAATTTCCTAAACGAAAATTTCGCTGGACGGTGGATAGGGAGGCACGGACCGGTAGCTTGGCCGCCGCGTTCTCCCGACCTAACCCCGCTGGACTTCTTTTTCTGGGGATATCTAAATCAAAAAGTTTACGCCACCGAAGTCGATACCCGTGAGGAATTGCTGCAGCGTATCAATGATGCAGCCAATGAAATTCGTCAAAACCGTTTTAGCATCTTAATAGCTTCGAGAAGTGTTACACGTAGGGCAAGACTTTGTATCAGAGAAGGTGGAGGGTTTTTTGAACAGTTTTTAAAATAGCTTGTTGTCTGTTATCAAAATTAAGTTTCCATCTTATGATCCCTTCGAAAAGTGACGGTTGCAGCTAAATTGCGGAATACAGTGAGGAATGTCCTCCTTGATGTCAGCCTTCTGTTTGGAAACCTTCTGCCGTACTCGCGTTCTGCCGCGCAGCATTACCATCGCAAAAGCCATAAACAAATCATCATATCATAATTGTTCTACATCAATAATGTGTATTACTGATTACGTATTAAATTATTATTATTTTTTTTTGTTTAAATTACTATGAAATTGACCAAAGTGGGATTAATTCAAGAGCGATTTTCTCAGAAACCGTTAAAGATAACGATTTGAAACAAGAGTACCTTTTTAACGTAAAACAGTTCGGGAAAACGGAATTTGCTGTCCAATTTGTTAAAAAGTCAAAGATGAAAAAGTTACACACGCAAAGTACCAAGGGCCCCCCCGTACCCACCCCAATGGACCTTGTGGAAATAAATGGATTAGTCCATCAAATTGCTCATCAAAATTTAGCTGTGTATACCATATTTCATTCATTTACCACAACGCGATTGAGAGATATTGCAAAACAATGATTTCCATTCCTCCCTCTTCAATGGGTCCCTGTGCCCTTAGGAAGCATTTCCGGACTCATGTTCATATGAACTTTTTCACTTAGTTTTGATTATAGAATCGGCCTGTCCGGGGTTGGCAGCTAATTACGAGACACCCTGTATTAAAAAATTATCGAGTTTAATCCTTTTATTTATTCTTAATGACATTTATGCACTTTAAACAACGAACATTCAATTATGATCCAACGACTACTTGATCCTTCCACCGCTAATGTGAATTTTAGGTGGTATTTCTTTTGAGACTCTTTAGGACGATATTGCTTATAACTTTTAAACGGGAAGTAATACAGAAACATTTCTCTAATAAAAGTTTATTAGAAAAAAATACAGCTTTTAACAGGAAAAACATTTGGGTATATTTCTGGAAAAAATCGTCATTAGTTGTTTCTGTCAAATCCCAAAGATAATACTTTCGATTGAAAATGGAGCTTACCTCATCCCATTTGACACCACGTGTCCCAAATACACTGTACACTACTTATCGAAAAATAGAAAACGATAACATGGCTACCTTCGCTGATACTGAATCGACTTAGAAGTTTCAAATGACAGTCAATCAAATAAATACCTGCGTAAAAAGATAAAAGACATCAAAACAGTACATCCTATTTTTACAAACAGAAGAATTTCTGTTAAATAATAATCAGATACTGTACTCAAATACAGATACATTATTTAGGTATGACAATGAACGCAATTTTGAGCTGGAAGGCTCCTATCAAGAAAAAAAAAAGGGAAGAATTAGACATCGAATACAGGAATTCCAGAATAAAATATTGAGGAACATCGTTGGTGCACCTTGGATCTGCAGGAACAGTATATGGATTCTGTAACCAACACCAACCAAAAAGTTTGCCAAAAGCCATGAAGAGAGGCTTCCTCGATATGTAAATGTTGAGGCTAAATCTTTTGAATTGGTTCAAGTGTTGGTTTAAAAGCAGAAACTGTAAGGTGCTAAGCACACTTATAGTTAGTGTACTTATGTACCTATGCATTAGAAAGAAATAATGGCTAGTATTAGGTAAACCGTAGACCAAGATTGACTGTTACTAATTTAGGCTTCAAATAAACTGCCTATTTTAAAAGCATTTTCATAATAAAAAAATACTTACTGGATACATCAACCAACAGACAAATGCCAATTAGTTTGAGAAGATAATAAAGTATAATAAAATGTTGCAAAAATAAAAGTAAAACAGTACTATGTAAATAGAGTTAACATACAAGGTAGAGTCCCGTCATATAAATACCTACCTACTGACTTTACCTGACCATTAAAAGGTACTTCAAAAAGAACTGAACAAAGCTGATTCGCGACCTGTCTTTTGCAAAAGCAACATTTTCTCTGTTATTATCTTTTAACAACAACTTGTAATATGCAAATCACTCAAAAATGTAGTAAAAGTGCTTGGAACAAGGAGGGGGACACTTTCAGCAGCTGCTTTAATTTATTGTTATAACAAGGAGGGGGACACTTTTCGCAGCTCCTTTAATTGTTTGTTATTGTTATCACGATTATTCTTTAAAATAAAGTTATATAGTCATTAACGTTATTGAAACTGACAGCTGCTATACAGCTCGTTGAGAAATGAGGTTAAGTTGGTCGCTATAAGCTACTCCCTACGTCCAATGTGTCAGAGCCAACTTCGACCACGTTTTTATTTGAACGCTCGTTATATACATAGCTACAGTTCAAATTTCACGTCAATCCATTCCATCCAAAAAAATTGGTAGCCTAAATGCTTCAGTGGCTGGACTACTTGGTCTAATCTAATCTAATTTTATATATTCTTCCAAAGTATGCGGATATAGATATGCAATTTATTCGTACTAGGACAGAACTAAGGTACATGTTTACCTGTTTCGGATTAGAAGAATATGAAGGTTCTTTTTTACACTCTTCAGAAATATTTGCCAACGAATATGAATTTTTCATTCACACATGGTGTTAAATTGCGTAAACACCGAATAATTTGCACAGGAACAGCGCGTCTTAGGAGCCAAGCTTAGGCATACAAAATTCAGCTTGTAAGATGTTAATTTCTACCATTAAAGTTCTGCAGGTAATTTTTATTAAAAGTATGGAAATAAGTTTATACGAACGCTTAATTTTTGAGATATAGGGTAGTGTTTTAGTTATTATCATTTATTTTTAATCTGTGCAAATTTAATGGCCTCTAGAACCATATTGGGTTCACTTAACTTTAGAATACTTATGCCTGCTTCTAGACTTCATACATTATTTGACACACCTTTACCTAGAATTGATATTAAAAAGC